AGAGCTGTAGAGTTGAGGGTCTGGGATTAAACCTTGAACCCTAAACCTTAAACCCTAAACCCCAAACTTCAGTGACCCAAGAAGCCCCAAGCTCCAAGCCTACAGTCCAGTATCCAAATAAATGTCGGCACCCCAAAGGCCTCGGCCCAAGTACCCCGAGAGCCTACACGGAAATGTTCGCACCCTAAGCCCTAAGCCCTCAACCCTAAACCCTCAGGGTCGAGGAGTTTGGGGGTTTAGGGCTCAAAATTTCAGGGGGGGGTTTAGGGGTTCAGGGACTTTAGGGCTTCCTCAGGGAAACCCGAAGCCTGAGACCCTACAGTCACCTCAGTTCCACCCCCAAACCCAAAAAGCCCTCAACCCTAAACCCTAAATTCGTTCTCAAGCCATTCGTCGCCGTATCAATGAGGAAAACCTTCGGGCTGTGGGGTGGTCGCATGAGGCTCGCGCGACGGTCGAGGGTCGCGCGGGGTCGGGGGAGAGAGGCGAGGGGTGGTCAAGGAGGATGGCCCGACGGAGGGGCCGGCCTGCTGAGCACGCCTCGTTAGCTACACGCACACACACACACACACAAGCGCACCCCCCCACACGCGCGAGCGTGCACTCAGGTCCGCTTCAGTGTGCTAGATCTGTAGGCGTCCCCTACCTGTCCCCCCCCCTTACTTGTAACAACCCCGCTAACAGTCTATGGCACCTCGGTGCATCCTGAGCCATGGCCTCTCGACACGATGTGACGCTGGCCTGAGCTGGGAACCTTGGAGCCCGCGAGTTTGGCATGTGGGTTGGACTGCAATGGAGGCTGGCATCACCAATACAGCAGCACGATGTTTGGGCTGCCAGGGGACACAGCGAGATGTTCAAGTTTTGTTGGCGTGTGGCAGCCTTGTGCCTGCATGCGGCCGGACCGCTTTGGCCGCCCCCGGCGACACGGAGTGACTGCATGACGAATACCACTGCACTGCATGGAGTTGGGTCGCCGCGGAGTGTGGCAGATGGGGACCCTACGTCCGCATGGTGCCTGCAACTGCCAGATGCATGACCGCTGGTACGAAGCAGAGAAGGAATTCATGAATTCAGAATTTGTGAATTCAGCAGTGAAGGCCCTGGAAACTGATGGATGCAAGACTGCATTTTGAGTGAAGCTTGGGTTCTGCACGAGCTCGGAGCTGACAGTCCCACGCACGTGCGCTCTGCATGGACCGTGTGCATGGCCACCACCTGCCAAGTTGCGCCTCCTGACGCCCGGGGATGACAGGGACAGATGTACGTTGTTGAGTGCGTATAGCCACAGACGGCAGTCACTGCTCGGGACATCGAATGCTGAGGATAGAGAGAAGTCTCACCCACATAGCCCTTGCCACATGTAGCTTTCTGGGAGGAAAGGCCGCTCGGGTTGTACTGTTCTGGAGATAGTATTCATACCTGATCTTTGGACGGTTTGCGGCAACCTCCACGTATTTTCGCTAGGTCGCAATGTGCCTAGGAATAGTCAGTCGGGTCTGATGGGGGAGGCTTGTTTCAAGGTGGAAAGGTGATCGAGGTATACTGTTAGCTATCATGGTTTGAGCCCCTCTGTTGGACACGCCGACTGGGTCAAAGAACTTCTGTCGGCCAATGGACACGTACCAATTTGTTTTCTATTTGTCTGGGATCGATCAGGGGTCAGCTCTTCAGTATTGTGGCTTGGCATTGAATATCCGTCGGTGGTAATGCTGACCCTGGTTGGTTCGTTACTGGTGGTCAATGCACCCACTCTGGAGATCTCGACAGGACTTGCCTCGCCCGCTTATGCCAGTGTGAGAGTCGAAACCCTAAACCCTAAACCCTTGCGGCCTGGAGCCAGGGGCCTACTGCACCGGTCATCAGCCGTTGCGGGGGATGCACAATACACACACACACACACACTTATAATTTATATATATATATATATATATGTATATATACTTAGTTATTCATATCTATCTATCTATCTATCGATCTATATTAATCATAATATCAATACAGTACCAAGCACAATCACAATACCAATAACAATAAATAATGATAATGATAAAAAAAGCAGTTATATTATTAGTAAGAAGAAGCAGAAAATAATGATAAGAATAAATAATATGAAGAATAATGGGAATAATAAAATACATAAATACTAAATAAACAATTACATTATCTATATATTCATATATATATATATAATGTGTGCATATATTTTCTATACACACACATATATATATACACACACATGGACATAGATCCTTCTTGGGCATCTGCGCCACTTGGAGGTTCATTGGTACTTGTAAGTAGGGTTATGAGTAGGGTAACTATGGTTATAACTGTTTAGGGTTTAGGGTTTAGGGTTACCTCCACTCTAAGGAATGTTCAACCTACCCCATGGGCATACCCCTTTAACGAAATTAAGGGGTATGGTACTATCCTTCCTTAAATTCTCCTTTTGAACACTTGTAGGTTCAGGGGTATGGGTTTGGGGAATGTCGAATGATTCTTAGGTACACCTGGAGCCTTGTAATTTATATGAGGCCTGCAGCCCCAACAACCGTGGAAGGCCACCAGACTGCCCCTTTCAGAAGGCCCGAATTATTCTTGGATCCAAGCAGGTCGGCTCCACTGCCGCGGGGGTGGGATCCAGCTCGCCAAGCCCAGTGTTGCTTGCCAGGGCCTCACCCTTCCAGCTTCGAGGGCAGTCTGGAATAGGGTTTAGGTTGGTTGGTTGGTTCGAAGTCCCGATGGGACAGGCTTGGTTTAGGGTTTAGGGCTTAGGGCTTAGGGCTTTGCTCGTTTTTTTCTGGCATTCCCCACTCAGCCCAGATGGAAAAAAGGGCTTGGGGTATCTATCCCCCCCATGCCATGCCAGGACACCCTCGACCTTGGGGCAGTTTTCTCCAAAGAGATGCTGGCGGGCTGGGCAAGCTCGGCCGAGGCCGCAGGTCCAGGCAGGGCTCGTTAGCGTTGAAGTATAGGGTTTAGGGTTCAGGGTTTTAGGGTTTACGGTTTAGGGCTTGGGGCAGGGGGTGACGAAGCTTAGGTGCAAGATGAGCCTAGCAGGGTTTGGAATGGGCTGGGAAGGGGGAAAGGGGTTTAGGGTTTAACACTAAGCCAGGTGCACTGAGGCCCTCGCCTGCTGTGAGGGCGACGCTTCAGCAGCAACATCTCTGTCTGCCGCCAAGGCACGTCGGGAGTGCTATCGTGCTGACAGTTAGGGTTTCGGGTTTAGGGTTTAGGATGGTTTAGGGTTACGGGTTTTGCAAGTATTTGCTCCTCAACAAGGGGTACCCCCCCTTTTATGCCCCACCTATAGTATAATCCCCTTGCCCTAAACCCTAAACCCTACAACACTTCTAACATAAATATATGCATTTCGAATCAAATAGATTACATCAATTTTATTAAATTGAATACTTTTAATATTTGGACCCTTTATAATAAGCACACCCCAGAAAGGGACCCCCCCCCCGTGGGATAGCCATACTGCTACTATGGCACAGGGAAGTCGCCTGCATGTATAGGGCATTCCGGGTTTAGGGTTTAGGGTTCAGTCTTCACAGCCTGGTTGTGCATGCGTTCTACGAAGGCCCGTGGCCAACATCCTTGGCCTCTTCGGGCACGTCTTGCTCTTCCGAGCGGAGGTGCAGCTGGGCCACACTTAGAGCGAAGCTTTGTGGGGTTTCCGATGCGAGGGGTCCTGATTATAAGGGGATTCTACTATTTGGGGGACTATATTAGGAACCCCTTTTTTCGGAAACCCCCTTGTGGTTGCGGCATTGTGGTTGCAGCTTCTGCTTAGGTTTCAGGGTCTTAGGGTTTAGGGTTCAGGTTACCAGGATGGGGTTTCTTCAACATTCGGCTCCCTCTCCCCCGTTTAGGGAGGGGACCCATTGTTTTTTGGCCCTTTATTTGTTTTTTATTCTTGGCCCTTTTTTTTTTTTTGCCCTATTTCCTCATTTTGCTCTCTCAACCCTCAACCCTAATCCCGAACCCTAAACCCTACACCCTACACCCTACACCCTACACCCCACACCCCACACCCTACACCCTACACCCTAAACCCTAAACCCTAAACCCTAAACCCCTAAACCCTAAACCCTAAACCCCTAACCCCTAAACCCTACCCCCCCCCCCCCCCCCCCCCCCCAAAAAAAAATGCCAAAAACATAGAAAAAATAAAAGGGCCAAAAAAAGAGTGACCCGTTTAGGGAGGCCTTGCAACCATTGTATACAGAGAGGATGAAGTTTTTTTGGTCCACTCCTACAAACCCACATGGAACAACCCACACCGTAAACCGAATACCCCATAAGACCACCTAGACAACCACTACAACCAACGACACCTGTGAAAACCCCGCTCGAGGCGTCCGACCCGGCACTGCGGTTTAGGGTTTAGGGTTTGTAGAGGGTTTAGGGGTCGAGGGTTTAGGGTTTAGGGAGTTTCGGTAGTCCCGGCATAGTCCCCGGGGTCAAAAAAGGGAGTTTCGGTATCTCTTCCAGATCAGGGGAGGGGTTGAACTATATGTTTTTGCTCAAAGGGCTGCAGAAGTGACCTGGGGATGCAGAAAGCCTCCTGCTTCAAGGGTTATACCATATAATTTAGGGGTCATCACCGACTATTCTGTAGGGTTTGAGGCTACAGGTTTGAGTTGACCTGAGTTGACAAGGTTCAGTGTTGGTAGGTTTCGGGTTTTCGAGTGTGGAGTTCCGGGTCTAGAATGTTTTGATTGAAGTCCTCGGTTTGGGTTGCCGTGTTGCGGCGGTCAGCTTCTGTGGCTTCATGGCGATTTCGGGCTTTCGGGCTTTAGCCAGAGTATCTCGATGGCCGCAGCCTTAGCTAGTTGCAAGCGGAGGTCTCTTCCCTTCCCATGGCTAGTCGTTGCTTTTCCGTCCGGTGCGTCAGCTGCATGTCCCGCAGAGCCGCTTGCATTGCTCTCCAGCAACTCACCGCTTGGCATATCCATAGTTCCATATCCAATTCCGCATAGGATCATGGCGTGATGGTGCGCCTGATCTCGCCGGCACTCGCCACCTTTGCAGCCACCCTCTGTGTCGCAGAGGGGCTCAGGGCGGAGCACCATCCGGTGTGGTGGCACGAGCACCCCGCGAGCTCGGCCGAGAAGATTCAGGAGCTGCTGACGACCAGCTTAGCGGCCGCAGCCACAGCGGAGGGGAGCCAGGAAGACCCCGGCGATGCGGAGGCGCAAAAGCAGACGCTTAGAGAGCGCATTGCCCGCATCAGGGAGGGCCGGCATGGCGCCGGCGCAACCGCTTGCCATCAGCAGCTGGCGCGGTTGATGAAAAATCTCACCCTTGCTTGTGAAAACTTGCAGCCGAAAGCCGACAGTATTCTCGCCTACCTTCCGGACTCCTATGCCGTCCCTAACAAGACCTGTGCGGAGAGCGTCAGCGACATCTTCGCGTTGGGGAGCGAACTGGTGGATACGCTTCGCGTCTCTAGAGATGCTGTAGCCTCCCTCGATGTGGACGACAAGACGCTCCGTCGATATCAAGCACTCTCCTTTTTGAGGAGCTGGCTGGTGAAGCTCACCGAGACTCAGCATCATGCGCTGCTTTGGGCCGGCTTCTGGGACGGGGACCAGGAGAACCGCACGACGCAGGCAGCACTCTCCAACTTTGCCAAGGCCATAGAGCACTCGACGGTGCATCCCGATAGCTTCCTGGGCCAAGCCATTGAGGCGAGCGAGAACCTCGACGCCTGCTACCAGGACCCCCAGACCAGTGCCCTTGCAGGGAACATGTGGTCCATCGCCAGCATGAGCTTCGTGCTCGGGATGGCCGAAAGGGCACAGGGAACCGTGATCGCACTGGTCAACAAGCAGATCACGGGCGAGCATAGCTTGTCGCAGTCCGTTCTGTCCACCCATGAAATCCCAACGGTGGGGCTCGCAGCCTGGGGCCTCGGTTTCTGGTCTCCGAAAGTGATGGTTGTGGACCTCATGGGCACATGCGACAAGACGAGCCCAGCGCTGCAGAAACGACTCCTCGCCCGCCTGCCCTCTTGGGCCAAGTCCATGCCGAGCTGGAGCGCGGAAACCTTCGCGATGAGGTCGCGGCTGCGGTGGCAGTGCATCGATTGCTCTGGGCCATGCAACCTGAACAAGGCCTTGGCAGAGCACGTGGAGAAGCTCGTGAAGGCACCCTTTTCATAGACGAGGTGTGCACTTGCTTCGCTGCAATATGGTGGCTACCAGCGTCATTTTTCAGGGCTACTTGTTTGGTTCTACCGTGATGTATCCCCAAACCCTATTCCAGTTGTACAGAGCCCTCTACGTATTCACTGCACTCGTTTTCTGACGTTCTGAAAGTGCTAAGCCCCTACGTATGGTTGCCAGCATGGAACCCATGAAAGGGCCCCACTAGCCCTACTAAACCCTACACCCTCAACCCTTAAAGGACCCCACCGGCCTTACTGTAACTCATGGTGCAGGCCAAAGTGGTGACGCCTTATCAAAACCCCTCCAAGGAGCCCTAAAGGAACCCTAGTCTAAACTTTCTAAACCCTAAACCCTAAACCCTATAAACCCTAAAGCCTAAACCCTCAACCCTACACACTCCCCAAAACCTCTCGGAGGCCAAAGTGGAGCAGGACCGGAAGGACCGGGAGCTCCGGGAGGCGCACTGCTAATATAGGGTTTGGGGTTTTTAGGGGCCTCTATGATTCGCCAAACCCTATACCCTCCGTAGTATAGGTATAGGGCTTAAGGTTTAAGGTTTAGGGTTTGGGGTGGGGTTTCGGATCAACCCTAAACCCCAAAGCCCCCTTGGATTTGCTGCTGGAAAAAGGAGTGCAACAAACAAAAACCTAAACCCCAAACCCTAAACCCTAGAACCTAGAACCATAACCCCTTGCTTGTACAAGCCCGAAGCCCGAAACCTAAGGACGGACCCGTTCCCTGCCAGGTGGTCGGCTGTCACCTCGTGGACGGCACTGAGAGCCGTCTCAAAACAGAGATTTGGTTGCTTGAACACCTGAAGCATTCGCTGTGGAAGCACCAGCGTTTCGACAAGATTAGGGATGTGGAGAGAGTGGAGAGAAATTTGGCGGTGCAAGGAGTGCAGAGAAATTCGGTGGAGGACCTGCCAGACCAAGTCTCGGAGGTGGAGCTGTTGAAGTATCAGCTCGACAGCCCGCAGAGGCAGGTGCAGGTGGAGCAACTTCTCCGCCAGAACGCCGATCCGAACGCTCCGAACCGGGTCGGCAGCGCAGCTCTTTCATGCGCTGCAGAGCTAGGACGCCCGGAGCTGATGGGGCCCTTGCTGGATGCCGGAGCCCAGCTGGAGGCCCGCAACCGGTTCGGCAACACGGCCCTCATGTGTGCCGCGGCAGAAGGCCACCTGGAAGTGGTCGAGGTCTTGGTGAAGGCGGGAGCCCAGCTAGAGGCTCGCGATGAGTATGGCAAGAGAGCCCTCGTGATGGCTGCAACTTTTGGCCGCCTCAAAGTGGTCGAAGCCTTGGTAGAGGCCGGAGCCCAGCCGGAGGCCCGCGATGAGTTTGGCGATACAGCCCTTCAAAGTGCCGCAATGAACGGCCGCGTGAAAGTGGTCGAAGCCTTGCTGAAGGCCGGGGCCCAGCTGGAGGCCCATGGTGAGCAAGGCGACACGGCCCTCATTTTCGCTGCAAGTTTTGGCCACCTCGAAGTGGCCGCAGCCTTGCTAAAGGCTGGTGCCCAGCTGGAGGCGCGCAGTGAGAATGGCGCGACAGCTCTCAGCTTTGCTGCATACGGCGGCTATCAGGAAGTGGTCGAGGTCTTGGTGGAGGCCGGAGCCCAGCTAGAGGCCCGCGATGAGGATGGTGCCACGCCCCTGATCCTTGCTGCAGGGGCGGGCCACCTGAAGGCGGTTCAGGCCTTGGTGGAGGCCGGAGCCCAGCTGGAGGCTCGCGATAATCATGGCGAAACAGCCCTCATGGTCGCTTCAATCAGTGGCCACTTGAAGGTGGTCGAGGTCTTGGTGGAGGCCCGCGATGAGGATGGCGCCACGCCCCTGATCCTTGCTGCAGGAGCGGGCCACCTGAAGGCGGTTCAGGCCTTGGTGGAGGCCGGAGCCCAGCTGGAGGCGCGCAGTGAGAATGGCGCGACAGCTCTCAGCTTTGCTGCATACGCGGGCTATCAGGAAGTGGTCGAGGTCTTGGTGGAGGCCGGAGCCCAGCTAGAGGCCCGCGATGAGGATGGTGCCACGCCCCTGATCCTTGCTGCAGGGGCGGGCCACCTGAAGGCGGTTCAGGCCTTGGTGGAGGTCGGAGCCCAGCTGGAGGCTCGCGATAATCATGGCGAAACAGCCCTCATGGTCGCTTCAATCAGTGGCCACTTGAAGGCGGTTCAGGCCTTGGTGGAGGCTGGAGCCCAGCTGGAAACTCGCGATAATCATGGCGACACAGCCCTCATGGTCGCTTCAATCAGTGGCCACTTGAAGGTGGTCGAGGTCTTGGTGAAAGCTAGAGCCCAGCTGGAGGCCCGCGATGAGGATGGCGACACAGCCCTCATGGTTGCTTCAATCAGTGGCCACTTGAAAGTGGTCGAGGTTTTGGTGAAGGCTGGAGCCCAGCTGGAGGCCCGCGATGAGGATGGCGCCACGCCCCTGATCCTTGCTGCAGGAGCGGGCCATTTGAAGGTGGTTCAGGCCTTGGTGGAGGCCGGAGCCCAGCTGGAGGCTCGCGATAATCATGGCGAAACAGCCCTCATGGTCGCTTCAATCAGTGGCCATTGGAAGGTGGTCGAGATCTTGGTGAAGGCTTGAGCCCGGCTGGGGACCATCTGATGGAGCATGGTGACCACAGCATGGTGAAGTGCCAAGAGTGCAGAGAGCCTGTGCAGCATAATCCGGTGCACATCCGTGTGTGCACCCCACACGCGATGGAGTGCGCCAGAGAAAGGGTCCAGCTTCTGAGGTAACCACCGTGGCGGAGGGTCGCTATGCGCGAAACAGCAGCAGCACGTGGATGGATGCCTGCCAGGACAGTGGTGGGCAACGTTTGCCGTGCCTGAGGGCTCGTGACCTGAGTGTTCGGCGGAACCGTCGGGACTTCCCTGAGAAGAAGCAGTTGTCCGCGCCGAAAAGGTGCGAAGCAGACCGTCAGCTCTGCCGTCATGGATTCTTGACTTCGCCTGTATCCCGCTGTGGTTTGTCCCTTTTCGCACAGCGGGGCCCGCCAGCCGTGAAGCTAAGCTCAGAAACCCTGAAGTAAAGATCCTACTGGTACGTCAAAGTTGCCATTTCTTGAAACATTTTAATGAAGCACTGAAGCGGTTTTCCCTTTCGCCAACAGGGCCGCCAGCGGGGCCAACCGTGAAACCATACTACCTGAGGTCAAAGGCTCTGGTGAAGAACGTGAACTTTTAGGGCACTGGCCTTTGGATGTGCCTTGGGTCCCGACGTCACTTGCCAAGCATTTTCGCTCAAGCTACAGCTAAGCGCTCTGAACCTTAAAACATCTCTAAGGCATCCAGGAAGCTTTCACAAGCATACCTGAATGGGAGCAACTGCGTAGCAACAAGCAGTCGGCAAGCCGCATGCCCGGAGTTTGCAATGGGCGCCTGCTGCAGCCCAGCAGCCAGCGAGGCTGTCCCCTCTGGGCCCAGTTCGGAGTGTCCTGTGAATGCTCTGAATGTTCTTCTTTCGTGCTTAGAGAGGCTTGGAGGTTTCCGCGAGCGCATGAGGAAGCAGGTCTTGAAGCAGGCGCACCGGACCCAAGGCAGCTCTCGTGCCAAAGGATGATGTAATGGAGTACTTTTCTGGCTCGCTCGAAAGGAAGATGCCGAAAGATGGCAAAGGAAGTTGGACAACCTCCAGCTACGTGAGAACGCCGAGAGCGAAGAGCTGAAGGCAACAGCACGAAATTAATGACAGGTTAAAATCTGTATTAAGAAAAAATACATGAGACACTTACAGATGTACGTGTCCCATTGGTTTCGAATCCTTCGGTTGCGCTTTGATTTGGAGGCAGCGGCCTGGTCAGAGGAGCAAGCGGCCTCGGAAAGGCAAGGGCTCGAAGAGGCCCTGGCAGCTGCCGAGGAGCCTTTCTTCGAGCGTGGGAGATGGTTTCATTGTTTCATGTGATCTGTCAATGATCTGTCGTACTCATGTGTGTGGGGTAACTTCTGCAACTTCATCTGAGGACCGGCACTTGGCTCAACAGCGCTGGAGCCAATTCCGGGGTTGGCTCCAGGCCAAAGAGTCTGAGGTGCGAATGCGCGGCTGCTAGCGCCCTACAGTATTCTAGAATTCTGATGATCGTACCCATGTGAAAGGCATATATTTTATATCTTCAACTGCCAAAACGAATATAACGAATTATGCATGATGATTCTCTTGTGTTCGATCATCTAGCCAGCGGCTGCTTTTGCATGTTTTTGCTGCGACTTGTTGTGACATTGTGCCATGTCACCCAATGTCACCCAGCAGGTCAACGAATTCGCCAACAGGCTACGACCGCGGCGCCCGATTTTGCTGGTGGAGGTCTGGGGACTCCAAGTCGATCATTGCTAGGTCCCTTCATTGTTGTAGCATATTGTATAGCATAATGTGCAGTCACATGGTTCCAGGCTTTGGCGCGTGAGGGAGAGTCGTGGGCAATGCTCGGGGAGCAATGGCTGCCCTTGATGGAGGCCTGTCAAAGTCTTACCGAGTGGCGCCATGTACCGAGTTTGCCGGGATTGAAAGAGAATAGATCAAGGAAAGGCGACCTGACAGCAATGAGCTTCGACAAGCTTGCTATCTCTCTCTCGCTCTCTTTCTCTCGCCCCGCTCCCCGCCTCTCCTCTTCTTCTCACTCTCTCTTCCTATTCCTCATTCCTCATTCTCAATTACACTTCTCTTCTCTTCTTCATTTTCTGCTCCTCTTTCTCCTACAGCGTCCTACGCAAATCGCAAACACTCGTTTCGAGATCTTTTTCCGGGGAAGGCCCGGCCACAGGCGTCCTGGACGTTGCCCCTCCAGCGCTGCGCGCTGGCGCGGCTCCGGGGAGTTTCCCCGGGCGCACCAAGCGCACAGCCCCGCGGCACGGCTTGCACGATTCAGAAGATGAGAGAAGATGAGAAGAGGAGGCAAAAGGAGGAAGAGGAGAGAGTAACAAGGTGGCGTCTGATTACAAACGAAGTGACGAAGCCAGCGTTGCAAACCATGCCAAATCTTGAACACCGGAGGAGAAGCATCACACAGACTGGACCTCGAGAGTGCATTTTTTGGCATGACCCCTTCGGCTTAATCGTAGCCCCCTGTATCCCCTCTGCGAACCCCCCCTCCGCCCCGCCCCCCCGCCAGTTTTAGATAGAGATTCATTTTCCCAGACCCACCCGCAACCCAGCCTAATATTAAGACTGCAGAGCGTGAGTGAGAATGAGGGGGGGATAGGATTGAGCTCGCGCAGAGAAGGAAGGAGGTAGTGATACCGGGGGAGAGGAGAAGGATGGAGAAGAAAAGGAGAAGAGAAGGAATGCCGGCAGAAGGAGAAGAAGAAAGCAGAGGGCGAGTTGTTGGCTTTTGAGGCCCAAGCGGGATGAGCTCCGATGTCTGGCATCTGGAGCTGACCGGCTCGCGGCTGCAAAAACGAGACCCCCGCGATGGCCCCGAGGAGCACGAGGATTTCATGTTCCAGCTGTCCCGGCTAACTCGGCTAACTGCCGCCAAAGTTGCCGCAGTTGCCAAAGCCCAAGAGTCCCAAGATACCCCGCAGGCCGTCATGATTCAGGTCTGGGCTTGGGGTGGCATCTCAGGGGAAGAAGGGGAGGAAGGGGAGGACGGCGAAGAAGTCCCCGGCTGGAGCATGGCTTTCCAAAGCGTGGCCGAGAGAGGTCAAGGCCCGAGCTTCACGGAGTTCCAGCCCCCGGTCTTCCGATTTCGGTTGCGCCTCAAGGCCCTGCAAGCGCTTGCAGCTGGCCGCACGCCGACGCCGCAGAGGGCGCGGGACCCGGAGGCTTCCGCGCTGGAGCGGCGCCTGGCATCGGCGCGGCTGCGGGCGGGGGCGCTCCGGCGCAAGGCCTCGGCGCTGAGGCCGCTCTGCACCGAAGCGGCGGCGCAGAGGCACGGAGCAGACTTGGCCAAGTGGAGAGCGGAGGTCGCGAAGCTGCAGAAGGAAGTGGATGAACTGAATTCCAGAGGCTTGGTGAGCTCAGTGTCCAAGGAGTCCAAAGCCCCTGACGGCCCTGACGTTACAGAGATGCAGAAGGAGCCGAAGGACATCCACAACCTCCACACCATTCAGATCTTCTTGAAAACCAGCCTACTGCTGGCCTTCTGTCATTTCTCAGCTCCGACTTATGGCCAGGGCTGTGCGCAACTGGTCATGACACTGCAGCTTCGTCCTGCAGCCGGAAACCACTTAGAAGCCTTCGCGCTGGTTCCGCTGTCCAAGTCCTCACCACTCCCGCTATCCTGGGTGGCCTCTGACTTGACCTACCCTTGTGAGGGAGGCCTTCGGCGTGAGCTTTCGGTGGAGCTCCAGATTGGCGAGCAGGGCAAGATGACAGTGATGAGTGAGATGGGCGAGGGAAACAACATCGAGGCAATGGACGCCTACGCGCCCAAGGCCTGGCTCCGGGCCCACATGACTCGAAGTTCTACGCGAAGTGCCCAACTTGGCTCCAGCCAAGCGGAGGAAGTGGAGGAAGTGGGGGAGGAGGAAGCAGATGCGGTGGTGGAAGAGGAGCTGCGGCTTCCTCTGACCCTTGCACTCTTCCTGCAGCCTCTCACAACCAAGCGCGCGGAGGCCGGAAAATGCTCCCAATACGGCTTGATTTATATGCTGTGTGCTGATAGTGCGGATTCGGAGCGCGAGCCGTATCAGAAGTACGCGCAGGCACTTTGGCGAGAAGCGAACGCTTGCTTCGTCTCCGCGGAGCCCCTCGCAATCAGCTTGCTTTACATCTTAGTGGCTGCATGCGCAAGATTTCATTGCATGCTTTTGCTTGATGTTCGTACTACGCACCCTTGAATTGAAGAACTGTGTGCTCAAGGCTGCCGTGGAAGGGCACACGGGAGGACAGCCAATGCAGCGGTCGTAAGCGTGAGAGGGTCGGGTGCGAACTCTCAGTGTGAGGAGCTTGAGACCGCCGTCTCCTGCGGCATCTTCAATCCTCTCCCCGGCGTGCAGTCCCGTTTGCTTCTCGGGATAGGGTTACTGGTTGATTGCGAAGCTGGCTTTGCCAAGCCTTGCCGAGCTCAGCCTTCAATTTCCATGGTACAGCCCATCTACAGCCGATCAGTACATGGCACTACAGTTATGGCAGTGTCGTGGCACTTTGAATCTTTGAATTACCATGAATGGTAGAGCGGCCCTGTGTGTCATTATGACATTGTCCGAAGACCTCTCTGCCTAGGGAATGGCTCCACGGTTCTGGGAGCTGTCCTCCCCTGCTGCCCTCGAGGCCACATCTGCCCATTCTGTTAGTTACGTCCATGTCGCTCCTCCTGTTGATGTTCTTCTTCTTCTCTCAAGGTCATTGCTTCCTGGCTGTGAATTTCGGAGCGGACGTTCCTGCTGCACTGACTGCTTACGCGGCGAACGAAGCCCGCATCTCAGATCCGGGAGTAGCGAGCACGCTGGTCTGTGACATTTTCCCGCACTCATGCCACGAGCCTGAGTAAAGCAAAGCCACTAACACACCGTCGGATGAAGAGTGGCGCCAGGAAATGCGGGAGAGCCTGCTTTGTTCCCCGAGCTTAACCTAGTGTCATGACGTCGCCGCACGTTGCCGCTGTTCTTGTTATGCCGAGCATCGAAGATCAACGCCTCTGTTTGTAACCGAGTGTGGGAACCTGTCACTGAGAAGTCGGGGGCACTTCTGGGAAGGTTTTCGAATGCGATGTTGCTCGAGAGACTTTTGGAGTTTAATTCTTACAAGCCTCATGTGCGCTTCCGTTTCTCTGGCGGCCATCTTGTCGCTAGGAGAAATGTGTTCAATGTCACGAGGGGCCACATGGCGAACTTCCTAAAGAGCCCGGTTACATCTGTCTTTCCGAATACCATGTCGCCGACAGCTTGTCTCATTGTCGGATGCGAACGCTGCCACCTCAGCGAGGTTGTCGGTCATGTCTTTGTGTAGAAAACCCAAGGGCAAAATGGGCCAGTCCAAACACCATGTTTCCTTTTCACCTTTGGTTTCGACATCTTTTGACACCACGGAGTCACTGAGTCACTGAGTGTGCCGATACTGTCAGCGGACGCTGCATCTGTGGGCACTGCACAGGTCTTGGCCAAGCTGGCTCTCCATGCGGCGGTCTCTGCAGCGGCAGTGGCGGAAAGCGGAAAAAGTCACAAAACACACGAGTTCCTGTGTGCGTGCTTTCTGCACTGACACACACACACACACACATGTTACATGCCGCACGTTCCCGCTGACGTCACCTGCTGCATCTGGGATGAGTGATAGTTCGAAAGACTGCGCGCAAAGTGTCCCAAAGGCTCTGAGCTCATCTGAGCGCTCTAAGTCCTTCGAATCCTTTCACGAGCGAGAGTCTCAACCCGACACAGCGCAGCCCGGACCCGGTGATTTTTCTCCATCTTGAAATGCTGTGAGGGTTGTTTTGGTACGCCATGGCACAGGCCTTCAAGTCGTGCCTACGCCCGGATGCAACATCAACAGCGAAGCTTCATATGACCACCTGAAGACCACCTTCCACCGCGGATGAGCTCCTTCCACGTGTGGAAGTTGCTCAAAGAGCTCAAACTCCCTGGCGCCCTCTGAACCCTATAAACCCCTGCAAGCTCGAATGCCACCAAAAACCCTAAACCACCAAATTGCCAAACCCTGAACCTCTAAAGCCCAGACCGCGCAGTGCGGGTGGCGAAAGCCCACTATAAGGCCCTAGAAAGCCCTAGAAAGCCCTGAACCCTGGAAGCTACAAGCGAGCCTGAGGGAACTGCCGACCTGGAAGACTACTGAGAGGCCTACTTCGAATCCTTGGGCTCCAGATTGACCCTCCCCGGAACCCGAAACCCCATTATCATAGTACAACTATAGCACTCTAGTAACATCAATAGAGTAATATAGTATCACTATAGTGCTAGTCCTCTAACTCTTGCTTTGCTACAAATGCAGTCTGGGGGATCCTGCTGCTGTCCGCGCGCGCTTTGTGGCCGCTCTCCGTTTTCGTCTTCCTGTAGTACAGGCGCAGTACTGTGAGGCCCGCTCTGTTATAATTCGTGTTATGAAACTTATATGTGAACTTATCTTGTTGAACATAAGTATACTTATAAGTTAACTTATAAGTAAGCTTTTACGAAAAGTAACTTTTTGAGTTTTCTGAAATGCCGAAATCGCAACTGGGTTCCTGCTTCATCACTATTTTTGTTTTGTTTTTTACGAAGCCTGCCTTTTTTTGGCATCTTGTGGTGTATTTTCGCAGGCTTATTGAGCCAAAAGGGCAATAGGGCCTAAACCTCCAGTGCACACAAAATGGCAACATCGCTTTGAACTTCGAACTCGGCCTTTTGTCCGCATGGCCTGGATCGATGTGGAAAGTGCTGTGGCCTTCTGAGGCCGCCGATGACCTTTGTGAGCTGGGAGTTCACATGCTGCATGATGCCAGGCAGATCGTGCATGCTCGCGCAAAGACGTGAGCGTGCTGCTGGAGAAGGTCGGGGTCTGAGACAGGAAATACTTGGAACTTCAGGAGTTCTCCTGCGAGGCACTGCAAGACTTGCGCGACGAGTTGGTGCAAGAACTGCAGCAGCTGCGCCGTGACTCGAAGAAGGAACTCCTTGTTACGATGTTTATGGGAGATGCCATTGACGTATACCTGCTTCTGCCAGGATTTGCGTGAACTGTTCGAGAGCTCACTGCGCAAGGGGCCGTGCAAGCAGGAGGGTTTTGCACCAGTGGCTGTTGTTGGGGGGGGCTTTGAACTCTAAGAGCTTCACAGGACGAAGATCAGCAAAATGGCGATGTGGCTGTCACGCCACAAACTGCCAGCGTAAGGGACTCAAAATGGGGGCTTTTGTCAATAGGCGTGACGGCTCATGTGATTGCAGGTCACGCCACGGAAACGCCGCAGGGTGCAGCAGGAGTGGTGCCAGACCCTGGCAGCCTAGCTTCAATGAGAACTCCATGTCAGGATTGTCTGGAAACTCCAGAAGTTAGTGGCCGCCCCTGACTGGTCTCAGTGTTAAAACAATTCCGATTGTCTTCAGAGCACACCACTAGTGCCCACAGAGTGGGGGCGCCCCCCGCCCTCGCCCCCCGCTCCCCCCTCCCCGGCCAAATTGCCTTCTCCCCTGCCGAATTCTTGAAGGGGGGTAGGTGCACTTAATCAGCATTCAACATTACTTTGAAGCTAAGGATGCACAGATGGAAGTGGCGATGGCTCCAGCAAGTTGCGTGCCAAGATAAATTCTGTTCGGCCACGGGTCCTGCACAGCATTAGCGGCCCAGGCCTGACGGAGAGGCAACACCGACGCCGACGGCAGGCGGGGAACGAGCTACAACATGCTACAACATGCATCATGCTACGACTTCCCAATCGCACGATGCGCTGGACCAGGCAAAGGTGCATCCATACCGCCTGGATGTAGCTGGTGAGGAGGCAGGCAGCGATTGGGGGACAAGCTTGAAAACCCAACTCACTGTACCCAGACATCCCGGCGACACAATAAAGCGCGCTAGCTTAACCCAATTTTCTACACGTAATGTAAAGGAAAACCCTCTCAACAGAGTCAAGCCTCTCATAACAACGCTTATGAAATCTTCCAGGATGAGACGCCGAAGGATTCTGCGGCGCAAGAGAAGGGCGATCGCTGGCTCCTCCCCGATTTCCAGATAGGCGAGCTCCTCGGCTCTGGGGCATACGGCACAGTCTGCAAGGCCATGGACACCCGCAAAAAGCGGCCGGTGCCAGTGGCTATCAAGAAGATGGCCGACGTGTTCACTTGGAACCCTGCCGACGCCAAGCGAGCCCTGCGTGAGGTTGCCATCTTGAGCAAGCTGAAGCACGAGAACATCGTGAAACTCTGCAATGCGGTCGCTCCCTGCAGCACAAGTGCCTTCGAGGACATTTATATTGTCATGGAGGCTTGCGACTCTGATCTGGACAAGCTCTTCTGCTCGGGTGCAAATTTAAAGCTGCGCCAGATGAAGAAGCTTGCGTACACGTTGCTTTGTGGGGTGAAGTACCTTCACTCGGCATCAATCTGGCACCGTGATCTGAAACCGGCCAACTGCCTCTTAAACCAGACAAGGCCCCGCAACAACTGGTCTATCAAGATCTGTGACTTCGGCCTCAGTCGCCCAGATCCCAGGCGGCTACAAGGGACCTCACTGACCATGTGGTTACGAGGTTCTGGCGAGCCCCTGAGCTGGTTTTGTTGCAGAAGAACTACACCGAGGCCATTGACATGTGGTCGGCCGGTTGCATCTTTGCCGAGATCCTGGGCATGCGGAAGGGCGTGCAAATCTGCGAGCGGGGGCCGTTGTTCCACGGAGCTGTGTGCGCGCCGCTTTCCCCGGACCAACGCGAGTGTTGGCCATCCGTCGTGCCGGAGCAGCATGACCAGCTCAACATGATATTCGATATCCTGGGAACACCGGAACCAGAAGAGGTTGAGCAACTGGATGGGGATGCCAGGTCGTACGTTGAAAGCTTCGCAGAGCGCGAAGGAAAGGGCTTGGAGTTCCCCGGAGTCGACACGGAAGCCATGAAGCTGCTGCGGAGGCTGCTGCGGTTCGTTCCGCAAGAGCGCATCTGCGCGGCTGACGCAGTTCAATGCAAGTGGTTCGACTGTGTCCGCAAACGATCCATGGAAAGGCCTTCGCCAGAAAACATCAGTCTGGATTTCGAGAGCGAGCCAGAGATGGACGGATCTCGACTTCGAGAGATCTTCTTGAAGGAGATGAAGAAAATTCAATCCGGAAAAGCCGGACGCTTGACTTTGTCGCGTTGAGGCCACTGAGGCCTTATGGAACAGCACGTGCGCGCGAAACCGATTCTCGCATGGGAATGAAGCATCAATTGAGCCTCTCGGCCTCTCGGGGCTGGGGTTGAGTCTTCATGTTCTTGTTCAGCTGTAGTGACTGTAGTGCGCATATGTTCTCTTCAATCTATTTCTTCATGTTCTGGCCCTCTGGCTCGGCGAGTGGATATGAAGTGCCCCCGAATTGAACTTCTCGGAGTTGAAGTCGAGTGCACTCACCCCCCGCAAGCCAAATTCTTCAAGATCAATGTGGGATATATCACGTTGGATGTCGATTGAGTTTTCCTGTAGCGGGCCGCCCCACAGTGGTAGTGGTCGCGGGTTGGGTGAGGCTCTGCGCTGCGGGGTGTTAAGTGGTCGAGTGCTCAGGACTACAGTGACTGCACCCCCCGATGTTTCCCGTGCCAAGAGGAGATCGCTTTTTTGTTGGCGATTAACATGTTGTTCACTGGGCAGGAGGTAGTTGGCTCAATTTGGCCTCCATGTAATTGCAGAGCCCGTCCCCCAGGCGATGTTTTGGCCTTGAGCTCTTCTAACTTAAAGTATTTTCAGTTTGTGTGACCTTAGCTTTAACTGTACAGGGCAAGCCAGCGGTTTGTTGTCAGCGGGCGGTTGTCTTAGCCAGCAGAGGCGCGCATGGAGGGGTTTTGTCCTTAATCTTACAATCTTCAGGTCTAAGCATGGCTTAGACTCCTGACCCTAATATCTGGAGGTGCAAGTATTAAAACCCGAAGTTCTTAACCCCAAGATCGTGTGAGCGACTAGCCCTAAGACCTAAGATCGTAAGATTTAAATATCATCATAAAACCTCAGGACTTTAGGATTTAAACACGAAGTCTAAAGATGTTAATCTTAAATTACTTCCTTGGAATCCCTTAACTCTAAAACTTTCAAGCTGAAATACTTATGTAACTTATGCTAGTAAACTCTTGATCTTGATGTCTTAAAAATGAAATCTACAAGTCCTTAAGCCCCTAATCTTCATATTTTCAATAATAATCTACCAGACCCTTATGAAGCCTTGAACCCTCAAATTAATTTAGGTCCCACCACTAAACTCCAATTTTTAGGATTAACCCGAAAAAGTTATCGGTCGACACGTCTACGGCGCAAGTTTTGCAGGCCGAGCGCCACTTCTTGAAGGCTTCTTTGTTATGATCTAAAAACCTCTAAATATGAAGACCCAAAGCCTCGAGTTCTGAATCTTCAATAGAGTTTAGATACTAAAATCATGGATGTTTCTTCTCGGATCTCATTTCTGAGGCTTCGTTCCGAAGATTTTTAAACTTGACGCATGAAGGGTCAAGATTTTCTTTCGTGTTTCATTCAGAGAGACCATATTCTAGAGTGGGATACTTATGGAATCCCTAACCTGACAAATATCAAGATTTTTAGCTCCATCTTAAAAGCTCTTCACTCTAAAAATTGAAGACTTAAGTAAGCACCAATGCCCTAAGATTTTAAGGTTCAAATAACGAATCTCTCAGCTCTTGAGCCTTCATCTAAAGATATAAATATCAAAGCCCTAAGCTCTTAATTGTTCTGCTTCGTTTTGCTTCGGGTTGGTTTTCGGGTTTCACATTTCTAGTTCTTACTTGGTGCTTTTGGGAGCAGAAGCCTCTTGCACCTGAAGGGTTGGAAGATCATAAGATTGAAATATCAATCTGAAACATAGGGCTTTTGGATTTCAACACCAAGTCTAAAGATCGTAACCTTAAAGCCATAAGTCTTGTACATAAAGTTTTCAGCCCTCAATTCTAAAGTCTTGCTTTTACTATTTGAACACCGATATTCGAAGCCCTTAATCTTGAACCTTAAAGTTTAAGAATTTATATCCCCATAAAAAGCTACGGGCTCGACCCTATTTTCGTTTTTCGGCCGCCCTGTCGGATGCCCCGCCTCCTCTTCCGGTCAATTTGGCTGCTTGTGGGGGCCTTGCAGGGGGATCCGGAAAATTCCGGGTCCCCCGGACCCGAAAATTCCGGGAATTTTCGGGCCCCGAGTTTAGGGTTTAAGGGTTTTACGGTTTATGGTTTAGGGTTTCGGGGCTTAATAGAAATTGTATTTCTTGCTTTTGCTGTAATGGTTTGGGTTTTGTCGGGTGTGGTGGGGGCTGGGTGGTTTTGGGGTGCTGAGTGGCTGGGGCTGCGGCTGAGGGGCTGGGGCTGAAAGGCTAGAGTTTTGGGAGGTTTTGTTTTTTGGGCTGATCAG